ATTTTTCATACCATCTAAAGTAACCAGGTTCAATTCAATGCCACAAAAACCCAGGCATCGGTTTTTTCCAAGAAGATAAATGTCTCCGAACCGGATATAAAAATGTCAGGTCAGACAATTCCGCTTTCTGCTTCGATAAGTTTGTTGGGAGTTAAAATGAAAACCAATATGTCTTGGCACAGTCATGTTATGTCGCTGGAATTGCAAAAGCTGTTTCTCAAAAGCTTGGAACACTGTTCCGAGCCAGAAAACTGTATAAACCTCAGCAACTTTTGATGCTTTATAAATCTCAGATCAGACCTTCTTCTCATGTATGGAGCTCCGCCCCCAAACATACCTTGAAGCTGCTGGATTCCACCCAGAAAAGAGCCACCGCCTGATTGGAGACTTTCAACCTTGATAGTCTGGAACCTTCTATAGGTACTTTTACGGGAAGTGTAGCTGCTCGTTGTTATGAGGTACGACTCAGTATACCTCGAACTTCACTGTTTAAGAACTCTTTCATTCGAAGAACAGCGTTTATGTGGAATAAACTTCCAAATGGATTCAATCTCCAGCGATTCAAATCCAATGTGAATCACTACTTTCTCGCAGGTACCGCTTCAAGACCGCCTTAAAGATTTTCCTGTAGTGCTTGTGTTTTGTCCTAATTGCGAATGGCTCTCTAATGTTCCGCTTACGATATTTGAATTGTCAGATATCGGAGTTGAAAAGTGGAATATAAAATATAACGTTTTTACAAAATAATCAATAAAGTGCTACGAATTTCATAAACTGACAGAAAATCGTTATACAGAGTAACTTTATAGGTGTAAAAAAATATTTCGGAGCAGTAGCTACATCGTTTCTTTTTCATTATTTTGTCGACTTATGTCTGAAATACAAAGAGATGAAGCATTTGTACTCTTCCATTATTTCAATAGTACTTTTAAATTTTTATTTATTCATCAATTTTTATTTCGTCTCCTTGAAAGTAGTCTTCCCCAGATATGCACTTTTTGGTATGACGATTTGGTTTTTATCTCGTCAATCGTCGCAAAATGCCGTCCTTTCATGGATCTCTTCAATCTAGGAAACAGGAAAAAGTCGCAGGAGGCCAAATTTGTTGAATAAGGTGGCTGAAGCATTATTATGGTGTTGATTTTGCCAAGAAAAATACGAACAAGCAATGATGAGTGAGTAGGTGCATTATCGTGATGCAGAAGTCTTGAATTGTTTTTTTATATAACTACAAGATAATACTTCTTATTGACTGTACGATCATGTGGCAAGAGCTCCTGATGCACTACGCCACGGTAATCTAAAAAAAACAGTGAGCAGAACTTCGACATTCGTTCGAGCTTGGTGTTAGCTTTCCTGGGCTCTTCCATTGTGACGATTATACTTTGGTTTTGATGTCATAATCATATACCCATGATTCGTCACCAGTTATGACCCTTTTAAGTAAATCTGGATCGCCGTTGACGTCATTTAATAATTCCTGAGCGTTGCTCACACGACGACTTTTTGGTCAAAATTCAGCAATTTTGGAATGAACTTCCCTGCCACCCGCTACATGCCCAAAATTACCAAAAAAATTGCATGGCACTAGCCAACCGATATGGCTATATTCTTTAATAACAATTGTTTTCACTTTTTTAACATTTTTAACGGCGAACATATGTTCGATACGAGTGTACAAGTGTGGAAAATTAAAAAAATCTCTAATGGAATGTACGAAGCCCGCGAAATTTCACCTTACCTTTACCTTACCTTTATCTTATTTTTTCAACAGTCCACGTATACTTGGTGGCAGAACCCTCTCGAGAATCATAAGCAACAAAAAATCTG